TTTGGGACTAAGATATTTGACTTGTCCTTTTTTATTTTGAAGCAACTATGCAATAGCAGGATCATATTTTGGTAACAGCTGAATAATAAAAAGAAAATTACCACTATCAGGTTTATCAAAGCTCTCTCTGTGTCTTCTAATGGGCAAATTGCAAGATGTTGATGATAATGTTACATTAATTATTCACTCTAAACCATCCCTCCAAAATTTGATTTCCTTCTGTTTTTTATTTTCGCTTGTTCATTTAAGATTTTGTTCAAACACCATCTTTGTATTGTCAGACAAGCATGAAGATGTGTTCTTGTACATTCACGTGTCTGAATTTTTGGGGTCAGGTATCTCCAATCCCTTATGCCGAGCATCATTAAAAGAAGACTTACAATTGGCAAAAATCCAGCATGGTTGGCAATAAATATCCCTGATTTCGAATTTTTAGAATAAAAAGCTTCTGAAAAACATCTATCATCCTGATTCACATCCCTGGGAAACAGCTCTTTAACACACATTTGTGGTATTTCAGCTAAATCTTAATGAATTTCTTTGTTTGTATCTGATTCTATTTCAAATACATTTAAATCAGTTACAGCACTTCATTTTTGTCATAACTAAATTTTAAACACTTACTTGAACAACCTACATCTTCACTTTTATCTACACTATTGTTATTCATAAAAAATTAGTCCAGGTTTGGTAACGTAAAATTATTATTTTCTCCTCTCTTTTCACTTTTATGTTTTGCTGGAGACATTTTTAATTATTAAGAGAGAATTTGTTCAAATATTAAAGTAATGTACTGCAGGGTCTGCACCTGTCACCATTTATTTAGCACTAATATGTTTTTGTAGAATGCAAGACCAAGTAGTGGTACCATACGAAACATGTATCAAACACGGATAAATTCATGACTGGCTCTGACAACAAGCTCCAATTTCTGATACATACTTATTTCCTGCATGTTCCAACTCATTGTTCTTGGTTGCTAGGCAAAGGTGGCATAATATTACGACCTCCCGGCATCTGTTGCTGTGATTGGCTGGTGGTGACATCATTCAGAAACTCGATTATGAAAAAATTAACTATTATTCGTGTGAGGTAGTCCATGGTTGCCACACCTACAGATTAATCTGTAGATCTACAGTTAATTAATTTTTTTTTCAGATTTTTTCCCCAAAATGAGCAAAATCCTACTGTTATGCCCATGTTTTAGGATTTAAAAAAATGCTGCAAATGGAATAGAGACTAAAATGATTACAAAATTAAACTTTTCTCTATAGAAGCCAAATAATTTGTTCCTCTAGAGCTTCTAGTGTGATGTTTGACTTCCCTCTCATGGCAAAACTGTGGCCAAAGTTCAAACACCCCTTATCCTTCCCACATGTCATCTGTCTGCCAGTTTTACCAAATTAGAGTGAAAAGCACAACATTTTGTATGTTTCGGTGTCAAAATGTGCATGTTTAGCCAGAATCCAGGGTGTTTAGGTCACTTGGTCCTTGAGTGTCTTCTAGAATACCTTTTGAAGTTATTAGGGTGCAAAAACATGAAAATTGCCACTTTTTATGGGCACTTTCAACCAGTTGTTTATTCAATATTCTTTAATAAAAGACACATCGAATAGAAAACGATGTTTAAGAACACAATCTAGTCAATTCTAGTCCATGTCTTACATAGTTCAATTGTTATCGCTCTATCACTATGGAATACTATGTGAAAGACAACTACCTTAAAGTAATATTATTAAAAGAGATTAAATACATTGGTTGAAGGAACTTTAAACCGATAGAAGTGATGTATCTTAGCATAAAAGTAGAAATGGAACTGAATAAGCTGCTTGAAATTTTCTTTTTAATTCCTTAGTTTTAGAGTCTTTGAAGGTCATAAAACCAAAGGTTGTCATTGAAAAAGAAGTACTGTCTTTAGTTAATTTGATGTCTTCATTTCAACAGTTGGCTGTTCCAGACATTCAAACAATTGACACTGAATGAAGGCTACTGAGAAATAGTTTGGAGAGGCTTGAAGTGAATTCCACTCTGCTTATTGTATTACAAAACTCTTCAGGTTTCAAAGTCTGGCATATGGATAATGTAATGTTGTTTTCAAATCTCTCCAAATTCACGCAAACACTTATGTTTACCACACTCCAGTGCAACAGTTGAGTTTTCTCTCAGCTATTAATAGAATGGAAACTAAATTTAGAAATAATTGTCAACAGAGACTTACAGGTTTGATATATACAAATAAGTTGATCAGAAGTAAATTCTGCTATAATTTTGATCTAACAAAACCGTTGTTAAACAGAACAGAGGATGGCATTTACAGTAAAGAAAAATAATTATATTCTTGAATAAATAAGAGATTCAATTTTTTTTCATTATCTTATTATTGTATAGGTCCACATTGCAGTGAACCTAGTCATAGGATGTTCAGTTATTAATGTCTTCATGAGTGGTTCATGTATTTTTACAAACCATTCTGACTTCTATTATTCCCAATAGTTTGCTGTAACTAAATGTTTTGTAGTTTAAACTTGTTATTAAAATGGTTAAAAATGGTATTAGGTAGGTATAATTAAGTTCACTGGTCATACTTAATCACAGTAGGTAATTAAAAGCTGTAACTTCTTTCTATGCAATAAATACAGAGCAAGAATTGTTTTTAGTTGTGTGTGAGTTTGATTACAGAAAATGCTATTTAAGAAATAATTTTTATATATTGTAGAAGTATAAATTTTTTGATGAAGTCAATGGATTTCTACAGATATTTTTAATTGATTCTACAGATTTTTTAAATTTTTGGATGACAACACATTTGGTGTAGACCAAGCCCAGGGTGATGGTGCGGTCTGAACTATTGGATCTGGGAATGAGTGATATTTTGTAAACTGTATTAAGAAATCGTCTTATGTGAAACAAATTTATGGTATAGGGTTTTTACTGAAAATGTAATGGTATTTTCAAATAATTAATTTCATTTTGAAAAACAATATTTAGTTTTTCAGTAGACATTAAAAAGTATATATATATATATATATATATATATATATTAGTTATTATTATTATAGATAATTAAATTTAATTTATTATACTCGTGATACTAGTAGTAGTACGGTTACGTACGGAAGGTCGGTCCGGGTTCCGGTT